TTTAATATCTTCCTAGCTTGAAGTACATTAAAAGTCCTCTTCCTTTATTAATCTGTTGCTCTGCTCTTCTGCCTATTCACTGATCTCATAGTATATCATATTATAAACAAACTACAAAACAGGACTGTATCTCAATAATGATGCTAGAGGAGCAAGCTTCCCAAGCATGGATAAAAATATTTTAAAACATTTTCTGTCCTTTTGAAAATTATTAGACAGTATTTCCATGACAAGCTTATGAATAAAATTAATTTACTTTAAAACAACCCAACAAACAACATATAAAATCTTCTCCATTTGGTAAATGAGATTTCTTCCTCTGAGTTTCCTTCCTAAAAGATGACAAAGCCAAAAAGGCATTATCCATTGAAACCAAATCCAGGGAAGTTGTATATAGTGTGATGCATTTACATGTACTGGAATTCCTGCCTTTATATAGGTACATCATAAAACAAGTTAATAGCACAAACTTACCTTTTACAAATGTGATAGGTTCTGCCTGGACCTCCCCATCAGTGAATATTCACACAGCCCCACAATCCAAAGTGCTTTGGAGGAAATCTACTCAGTTTGCTGAGGAAGTTCAACATCTTCCATCTTCCTTTGATCTTCATTAACACCAGCCTGTGCCAGGAACACCACAGAAGTAATACAGACTCTGTGATTCACCAGGAATCTTGCTAGGGAAAGCCAAGTTGGTGGCAAGGAACAATGGTGCAGAAGATGAGAGAGCTGAAAAAGAAAACAGGCTGTTGGACTGTTAACTATGTTAAAGGTTTAGAGCTCTTGGAAATAATGGAGAGGAGACAACATCTGCCAAACCTGTTTATTTTCTTGGGGTGTGAGACTAGCAGTGGTCAGACCTGGAGATTGCTGTAGCCAAAGGAAGTTAGGAAGGAGTGGCTAAGGAAAAGCTGGGTTAGGAACATGCCTAGTTATGATACATAAAATGCCATTATGATGGATATTCATGGGGAACTGGACTGACAAAAGGAATCCTTGTCCTTCTTCCATCTCAGAGTTTTATGAATATGTCCAAACATGCAGCAATGTTTAATAAAAGACATAATAGTTCAACAACTTTTACTCAACTGATTGCAAAGTATTTGATGCCTCTGGAAGTTTGGACCATGACAGCTAAGAGATTTTTGTGTATTGAGAAGTCTACCCTTGATTTAACATGCCTTCAACTTAATGAATATATAAAATCTGCTTAATGTCATTTCCACAAAACCCTTTATAAGTTCTGTGGTTAGTAACTAGGACACAATAAAAATCACAGAAACAAAAGAAGATTCATAATTAAATGTTCATCTGCCTTGTCCAGCAGGTTAAATCACCAGCTATCCAGAGCACTTCATGCACAGTGGCTTGAGTTTTTTGGCTCAGAACTGGCAGCAAATGCTGCCTAGAAAATGGAGGTTTCTGTTCATTTCCCCCCAGCTTCCTTCAGTCAACAGCAGATAGAATTTTAGTTTTCTCAAAAGGCTATAGGCTTAGAATAACAACTCTTACATTTCCAAAAGAGATGATAGAAAACAACAAAGACAATAAAAAAGCCCACACAAACATTCTGGCCATCTGGCCACTGAAAAGCAGAAATAAATGAAGCTCTACTTCACAGAGGCTTCTTGTAATGTGCTCACAGTTGTACTGTGGGAGAATCAGGTGCTGTATTTCTACCAAATATCAGCTGTAAATTACAACATAACCTGATATGCATGAAGAAATAGTTTTCTAAAAAATGCTAATAAGCCTGATGGCTTCCCAGGAGTTTATGGAGATACAGGCAAAATGATGGCAGCTGTTTCTGCAATGAGAAAAAGCGTACATGCAAAAATAGTTAAAGTAATTAGTAGTTTTAAAATTTGCTGGAAGGAGCTGAAAACTCGGTACAAACAAATCTTTTGCTTGAAGTCTGGGAGAGCAGAATTTATATTTTAGTCATAGAAAGAGAGAAACTGACAGTCCTGACCTATTTTGGAACTAGCGACTGAGTGGAATGGTACTGTAAGCACTTTTGGACTGCTGAGACACGTTACCATGACAAAACATTCCACTCTTTGAGAACAAGATTCACCTTAAAACTGTATTTGTATGTGTATTGGGTGTATTTGTAAATATTAATTAGTATTTGGTGTATTTGTAAATATGAATTAGGGCTAATGACCCCACTTTGTAGTGAGTAATTACTATTACAATGATGATAAAGTAGAGTTCTAATAACATACACAAGAATCTTGAAAATGGCATCAAAGAAATCTCTTTTCACAGACATTTTTCCAACTGAGCTAGGAGAAACCAAACTGAACAGATCTATCCCTGACTTGGAATTTTAACTTGGAACTGCGGCTTCTTTGGGCAAATCTGTGATCTCTACTTAGTGATTATATATTAGTTGAGGAATGTTTTATTGAAATTTTACCCCCTTCTCAATCTAGGGAAGAATGCAAAAAAATGCTACATTTTCCTTTCCTTTTCCCAGTTTTCTGAAAGAATTAAAACACCCCCCCTGATTACATTAGACAGCCACATTTGGTCATTGTTGTGCTGGAGATGAGCACAACACATCAGAAATGGTTTATGGCAAGGACAATCCTATTAAAAACAACAAAAATGACAGTTGTGCTTGTTCCTTCCATGAGTATTAAAAATTGGGAGTTCTGATACATTTTCCAAAGTCCTCCTCGCTGGGGAGAACAGCTCTGTTCAAGGCATCTTGATTTTAGCAGAATTGGAAAAAATAAATTGAAAATACAGGAAAGAGGTTTCAGGCCTAACTTTACAAAAATTAATAGATTAACAATTGGAGTTAACACATAGACCATTAGAAGAAATTTTTCCTTTTTTTAACCATATTAATCAAAAAGTTTATTTTTAATGAAAACTTTAATCCTTTTGTAAGAACTGCATTTACTGTTATTTCCATCAACTATCAAATTTCTAAGTCAGTTGATATTTCAAAGTGCAGCTTGTGTAAAAGATTGCCCACATGACCTCTGACTTTGCAATTGTGATTTTTGATGTTTAGGATATACTTGGTTTTGTTATTTAAGAAAAACTCCATTTCAACTCATGTTCTTTCCCACTGAGGACCAAGAGACAACATGGTATTTTGAGGGGCTAATTAAGAGATTGGTGGTGACATTTTAGCAAATCCAATTCCCTGCTGAGAAACAGTAATTCTCTCTTTCATTAAATTTTTGGGCAAGACCCAAAAAGCCAAGGAAACAAAGCCTTTTAAATATAGTTATTCTGAGGCTTTTAACAGTTGATAGGTAAATACTGCAAACCAGAAACAATGACAAAAGGAAAACTTCTAACAAAACTCTAACCCTGGATCGACACTGAGTTTGTCACCTGGTGCCTGCCGACAGAAATAGGTGCTGATCCCATATTACCATGCAGAGCTAAATATTTAAAATAATCAAGTTATTTTGCTTACTGTGGATCAGGAACCCTTATACAACAGAACAGCCATGTTTCCAGTTAAAACACTTGGTAGGAATTCTTAAGAAACCTTCCCAGCAACTGCACAAACACAAAAAATATCAATGGGGAAATGCCTGGAATCCTATTAAGTGACCCTGGAAAACTCGTTATTGAAAGAACATTTTACAAATAGCCTATCCCTTCAGCACTGTAAATGGCCTACTTAAAATAAATAAGAGTTGACAGATAAAGCAATTTAAAAAACTACACTTCTGGAATAACAAAATGTGCAAACAACGGAGAAAATGGTTAATTAATTAAAAAATATATTTAAAAAAAGAAGACCTTTTTAATTTCCTGCTTCTTACATTTCAGAACGATACCCGTATTCGACTTTCTTGGCTCTTTTCAGCAAACCACAGTTAAAATGCCTCCCCCTGGTGAAAGCAGACAACCTGTCACAGCTTTGTACCTCCAGCGGCCGTGGTGATGCCATCGTGGGCAGTGACCTTTTCAGCTCAAATCGAGTGTGTCTGGGCAGGACAGCGCTGCATTCCTCCTTCAGCTGCTCTCTGACCCCCACTGGGATAAAATCAGCGTCTTTATTTGCAGCATTCAGGCCAGAGAGAGTTGGATAGAGCCCCCTTGTGAAAAACGCCAAATCACTTGGTTTTAGAGTTTCAAAAGTTTAATAGTAATAAAGTGGTTATAAAAATAGTAATGGAATTAGAGTAATAATAATTTGGACAATTAGGATTTAGGACAATACGAGACAATAAAAACAAAGAGTTATGGAGAATTCAGGTACCTCTTTCTGGGCAAAATAAGCCCCAAAAAAGCACACACGTTAACAGAGGATTAACCCTTAAAAGCAATACCCTGTTGCATATTCATACACCTCATACATGATGCATAAATTCCATTCAAACACAGGATTCTGTCTGGTCATCGTCAATTTCTTCCTCTGAATCCTGACGGCGTCTTCAGGGCTCAGCGAGGCAGGAAGAAGTTCGTTTCTTGTGATAAGGGAGCAATAAATTCTTTTTCTCTGACACATGGAGGTGTCTTGTGGCTGCTATCTCAGTGGGAGTACCTCACTCCTCTCTTTTAAAAAAAAACTATCTTACATAGCATAGCTTCTATTTTAACATTATGTTATAACCTAAAACTATATTTAACACACTTGTTAAGAAAATTAATATAGCATAACTTTTTAACGCAACACATATAATATTCATTTTAATATTTGCGAAAAGCCAGTAATAAAATACGCATTTTCCACACCCTGTTCCCGAAATTCAAACAAGTTGACTTTCAGCCGGCTGCAAAGGCGTTTCCTTTGATCATCGGAACAAGTCACCATTTAGCATAGGGTTCTATGCTTTCCTACAGGCCTAGCACACTGCTTATAATTAATATCCTGATTAGGATTTTAATTAAATATTAATGAAGAAAACTAAGCAGCGGCAGGGAAGAGTAAGCAGGATAGCCCGTGGCAATCCAGGGCACGGCCGCCCCCTCAGCCGCCCTGAGGCGCCTCCCGTGCTGAAAATGATGAATTATATAATTCAGAACCAGCGAACATTAACTTGATTAAAATGTATAAACCCATGAGAAAGCTTTTTTATCAGCTTCTGTGTGGAGGCCCGAATTTTTGTGGGGCAAGGCAAGTGACGGACTGACACTGCCAGGGGACGCTCGGGGTTTGCTTTTCCCGACGAGTTCGGGAGAATTCGCTCACACCGCGGCTCGCGCCGGAAGTCACGTGAGCCGCGGCTTGCATTGGGCCCGCCTTTCCCTGGCAGCGGCCTTTGGGGCGCCCCCCGCGGCCGCCGGCGGTACTGCAGCCCCGGCCCCGCCCCGCTGCCCCCGCCGGGCGCACGCGCGGTGCGGGCGGGCGCGGGACGGCGGCGGCGGGCGCGGGACGGCGGCGGCGGGCGCGGCGTTCCCGCTCTGGGCCCCACCGAGCCCCGTCTCCCGGCGGACGCCGAGGGGGAGGCCGGGCCGGGCGGCATCGGGGGATTGTGAAGGCACAGCGGGGCGCGCTCAGCCTGCGACGAGACCGGGAGACCCTGCGTGCCGCCCGCCGCAGCGTCGGCCCCGCAGCGCAGCGCGGCAGGAGAGAAGCGCCCGCCCGAGCGAGTGAGTGCCGCGGGTGGGGGGCGCGAGGGGCGGCCGGGCACGAGCGGGACCCGAGCAGGGGAGCGCGGGCTGGGCATGGAGGCAGCGGGGCGGCGGCGGCGGCGCTTTGGGGGGCTCGCACCGTTCGCAGGGTTCGCAACGCGCGGATCGGTCTGTGCGGTGCGCAAGCAACGCGCGGCGTCCCCGGGACGGGGCGAGCGCAGCCGGGAGTCCAAAGCGGAACGGCAGCGCCGCGGCCACGGGGGCGCGGGGTGGCCCCGCCGGCATCCGGCTTCCGCTTCCTCCCGCCGGGAGCCGCGGCGACCGCGCTGCGACACCGCCGGGCCCGGCACCGGCCCCGCTGCCGCCAGCACCGCCGGGCTCCGGCCCTCGGTACTCGGGCGATGCCGCCCACAGCAAACCTCCAGGGCAGCCTCGGCTGCGCTAAATAGGGCAGCGAAGCGCTCTGTGGGTCAGCAAAGCATCTGCGTTGTGTTGTTTTTAAACAAGAGCTTGTTAATCGAACAAGAGTGAGGCTGCGTATCAGGGAAAGGTTCTTCCCCCATAGGGTGCTCAGGCACTGCCCAGGCTCCCCAGGGAATGGTCACGGCCCCAAGGCTGCCAGAGCTGCGGGAGCGTTTGGACACCGCTCTCAGGGATGCACAGGGGGGGATTGAGGGGTGTCTGTGCAGGGATTGTCGGGGTGTCCGTGCAGGGATTGTCGGGGTGTCCGTGCGGGGATTGTCGGGGTGTCCGTGCGGGGATTGTCGGGGTGTCCGTGCAGGGATTGTCGGGGTGTCTGTGCAGGGATTGTCGGGGTGTCTGTGCAGGGATTGTCGGGGTGTCTGTGCGGGGATTGTCGGGGTGTCTGTGCAGGGATTGTCGGGGTGTCTGTGCAGGGATTGTTGGGGTGTCTGTGCAGGGATTGTCGGGGTGTCTGTGCAGGGCAAGGGTTTGGAATCGATGATCCTTGGGGACCCTTCTAACTGAGGATATTCTGTGATTCTTTGATATGTTTCTCAAAATATTTCTCTCTCAGCCTGTTCAGAACATGTGCTCCGAAAAACTCAGTGAAGTTTATGAACACCAACCAGATGTAGGCTTGTGTTCGTTCACAGGACAGAATACACTTCAGGTTCTCTGTTAGATTCATGTTAGATCCTCTACAATGCTTTTAAAGAGAATCTCTGTAAACACAGAGTGCAGAGAACCTGGAGCTTAGGTCAACAAGGTTTCCCCTCTTTTGGTGGGGGACAGGCTCTGTAGTTAATGTGCTATTTCAGTAAATCAAATCTCTAATGTAATAATGAAACTAATACATTTAAATAATACTATAGTACATTACATACTATGTTATATACTATAATAATACTATAGTATATTATGTAATATATGTTATAGTATAGTATATGCTATTATATAATACTATAGTATATTATATAAAGAATACTATATATGTTATATAATATATATGGTATTATATATTATATATATATTAAATACATATATATTATTTTATACATTATTATATATACATATTTATATTATATATACATAATGTGTATATATATATGCAGAACACTTTCATTTATTATAAATAAAAAATTAAAATTATTACATAATACAATACATTCCATATTAAAATTATGTAATAAAATAATAATAATTTATATAAAGGTGACTTTAAAATATCTTCTTATTTAGCTTTTCAATGGGTTAGATTGAAATGATCTCCCAGGGATTATCAAGCAAGGATGTCTACTTCCAGGACAGAGTGGATTAGGGCATTTAAATATGTATACACAGGCCAATCTTTGTCCCTCTATTTCCAGAAGCTCTAGTAACTTGACCTAGTAATTTGTGATGTGTGTCAGACAAAATTCAGGATTTGGATGTGTGATCTCCAAGTGTGCTGCTGGATGTACTGTTCTAGAATGTTTCAACATACAAACAAAATAGCTTGTAATAATGTATTGTTACAATGTCTGGCTTTGAAATTCAGCTATTTGAGGATTTTTTAATCTTTTTTTCTGGGCAGGTCTTAATCATAAACCCAGGGGGGATTTTGGAAGAGTTTTAGTTGTTGTGCTTGCTTGAGATTTAAATTGCAACAAAACTACATATTTCCTTTGGAAGGTTTTCATATTTCGTGTCAGAAGATATAACCATAGTTAGTAAAATACCTCTTTTTCACATAAAGTTCCAGTAGTATGATTGCTTGCCAGGTTTTTTAGATTGACTCCAGCTACCATGTTTTCTTTCTCTGGTTTTATACACAGCTCATAAGTTGTACTTTAGTAAAATGGGACTCAGAACAGTTTCAGCCATTCCTTCTGTAAAGCTGATTTTGCTCTACATCACAGAGATAACCAGAAAAATGATGGTTGTTTTTGCCACAACATTTGGTTTTCAGTTGTCATTCCAATCTTGACCTGCTTCTACATGAACTGCAGTTCCTGTTTTTTTGTTCTAAGAATACAAAGTGAAGATCATTGCCACTTAGACTTTAATTTCTGTGCAATTCTTTCTAGGATTTTTTGTTTCTTTCCCACAGGTGGGGAAAAATGGCCAAGAGAATTGCAGAAAAGGAGCTGACTGACCGAAACTGGGACCAGGAGGATGAAGCTGAAGAGGTAAAATACACATTAGTTCCCCAAACTGCCTCAAACTCTGGATTACTGACAGATTCCCTTCAGCACAGATATCTTAGAGCTGTGTTTTAAAAAAGCAAAGCAAAACTTACATTATTTGATGTAATAAAATGGAGATAGCACAAAGAGAAATGTCGTGCAGAACCAGAAAGTGTTTTCCAAGTATCAGCTCACAACCAGTGGGCTGGTTTTTAACTTCTTCCCTTGTTTGCTTGGTAGCCAGTGTTAGAGGTGTGTTCAGAACGTGATCTCAGCCATCCCTTCATGTTGAACATTCCACTAATGATTCCATAACTTCCTCTTCAAGGTGGGAACATTCTCTGTGGCAAGTGAGGAGGTCCTGAAGAACAGAGCTATTAAAAAAGCAAAGCGCCGCAACGTGGGGTCAGAGGTAATGTGGTCACTGGACAGGGGTGCTGGAGTTTTACTCACAAAACACAACATCATGCTCAGGTTTTTACTTCTTGGGTTTGTAGTGATGCTGAATAAAGTCATAATTTCAGCTCATCAGGTCATATGTGCACAACTTTGGCTTTACTGTTCCATGCTAAGAATAAGGCTAAGGCAAAAAAAGGGTTATACTAGTTTGACTGGTGAGCAGGGTGTTCTTGCATATTTCAGACACGATGTTATTTGCAAATGGGTAAAACAGCATTTTTCTGCTTTACTCCCATTTTTTGTAGAGAGGGAAGTATGGAAATGCGAAGTTATTAGTTATCCATCCTGGAGGGCTGGGGGATTCTCAGAAGCTTTATTAGTAAACACCCAAATACTAAACTGCTCTAAGAATGAGAAACATGTCTTAAGAATGCTGCTACTTTTTTTCCTCCCTCCCTGTCAAGAGCTTTAGTGCCATCTACTCTTTGCACTAACAAATTGAAGATTGAAAGGCAGTTGGCCTTTTTTACAGATTTAGTTCCTGTGAAAGCATTATCCCAGTGCAGCCAAGTTGTTGTCCTTTCAGAAATCCTTTTAGAAAGCATCCTGATAATGCTTTGTTGTATATATTTTTCCCAGACATGTTTGAAGAGGCATGCATCATGTTAGAAATAGGCCTGGAGCTTTATGTGTTACACAGATTGCTTTAGGACTGGATGGGACTGGATAGGCACAGTTAGGAACTAGACAGCCTTCTCCTATGCTTTTGATTTTCCTTCTTCAGCCCAAGCACTGTAAATGAGGAAGCTGTCTTAGCCCACTGATGCCTTGAGTGGTTTTAGCCACAAATGTGGTAGAGGATACAATTAAATAAAGGATTGTACTGGAATGAGGTGATGCAAAACATAAACTACAACTTGATCAGGAGAGATTCAGGGGCAAATAGAATAGGAGAAATAGAACAGAATGAGAAAGGGGACCAGATGGCTTGTAGAAGTAGTTAGGAGCAGGCTGTTAGAGCTGGTGGAAGGGCTGGTGACAACTAAGGACCATGCAGCCCCTCACTCTTCCTCCTAGTGTGATGAGGAGGAGAATCAGAAAAAAGGATAAAAGCCTGGGTTGAGATAAGAACAGTTTAATGATTGAAATACAGTGATCATGATGGTAAGGAAACCAAAAAAAGAGAAAGAGACAAACCCCAAGAAAAAGCAGGGATGCACAGAAGGTTGCTCACTACCCACAGACCTCACTCATCCCATCCCCAAGCAGCAATTAGCTGCTTCCAGCCACCCCCTCCCAGTTCCTGTGCTGGCCATGACACTGAAAGTTCACTTTGAGTAGTAAAAGTTCATTGCCTCCAAAGGCCTGAAGATTGCAGTGCTTTATTTGCATGTTAATTTTACTTTGTCTTTTAGAAACACTTAAGAAACTATACCATAAAATAATATGGTTGCAAAGACAGTGATCAGAACTGGGTAATGAAAAGGTTGCAGAGATGGATATTTTGTGGTCAGGTACAGTGTGTCTTTGCATCTTCCATCAGTCACATTGGAATATTTTGGGCAAATCACAAGAGGTTTCATTGATGACTCCAGAGTGATGAGTGGATTAAAGTATTGGGCTCTTTACTGCCATTGTAAATGCTAAAAGTTGTTGAAAATAAACCTGAAATTACATAATCCTGTGTAGTTATTTAAAGATAAACCAGATTACAGATTACCAAAATGTCTAATAGATAAACACATCCACAGCTCTTCCATGAGCAACTTCCATGTATCCACATCCTAGACCCAGTTTGTTTTCATACCAAACATCTGAGTCTTTTAAAAACAGTAGCAATGTGTGTCATAAGGAAGTTGTTAATTTTGTTTGCATAGCTGACACAGAAATGCATGGAATGACACACTGAACTAGGGAAAAACAAACCAAGGATATCAGGAATATTAAGTGGGGATAGGATTTGTGTGGATAAGATGTTTGTAACTGGTTGTCTCTCTTTTTTTTTCTCCCCAGTCTGAAAGTGGAGGAGCTTTTAAAGGGTTTAAAGGCTTTGTATTGCCTTCTGGAAAAGGAGGAGGAGGCTTCAGTGGATTTGGGAATGGTGCAGGAATAAAGCCTTTGGAAGGGCTGTCTAATGGAAGCAGTAGTGCCTCTAGTACTCCTCCTTTCAGCAGTTTGAAGAGCACCTCTGAAACACAATCAGCATTTGGTAAGTTTTAATTAACCATACATATTTATCAACACCTTCAGTCATAAAACCTGTAGGGCTATTTTAGTAGTGAAAAAACAAATTTAGACCATCTTATAGTTGTGTTTTAAGGTTTTGAGACTTCATATCTCTCTGTAAGATTTCTTATTTTAGAGTGTTGGAGGGACAAGTTTTCATCTGCATGCATTTTAAAGAGGTGGCAACTAAATCCATATTTCTAATACTGGAGGTAAAAGTTTTCTAGGCACAGATGGAAATGGAAGGCACTGGCATAAGGCAGTCTGTAAAAGGTATAAAGCATCTGGTGACATGTCCCAATTCTTTGAATTTAAATTAAAAATACACGCTGCATAGCTAAAGTCTTCATCTTTTTTCCTTGTACATCTGATGTTGCAGACAGTCTTACTAGAATTTATCTGTTACAGTTATACCTACATTTTAGGACATTTTAAATACTTCAGCATGTTGAGCTGTCATGCTTTGGAATTCCCTGAGGAATATTAGTTCTGTCCCTTTGTGCTGGACATGCAGAAATGTTAACCCTTATTTTGGAGTCACCATGCCATAGAATAGAAATGGTGGAATTTGAACTTTGGAGTAATGTGGATTTCAGTGAGCTTGAATAAATTAAGGGAAACTGAAATATTCAATGAGAATTTTTCTAGTTTGCTTCTTAGGGTTTTTTATACAGAAGTGCTCAAAAGCTTGTAAAATTATGGGCTAGTGCACCTAGGGTGGTTTAAAGCACATTTAAAACACATTTAAAGCACAAATGGGAAGAGATAAGTTGAGTTTTTTGATTTAATAAGCGTTACAGCTTGCTGAAGTTGTTAGATTTTTGTAAGATTTTGAAGGTTTTGGCAATATATAAAACATGTATTTTTTTTTAATGTTCTGTGCAAGATGTGTTTGAAA